ATTACTGGATATCTAATAAAGAGTTTTTTTAAAATAAAAGAAACTTATATATAAAGAAAAGAAAAGAAATATTTAGGGAAAATATTTCTTAAATTAATACTAATATAAAGAATCTATATCTATAGAATATTATACTAATAATAGTATAATTATATATCAATATTCTTAAAATTTATATTATTAATATATAATATTTCATTATAGTAACTAGGTAGTTATAAAATATTTTTACTACTACTAGCTATAAAATATTAATTTTATATTTATAATTATTAGGCCTAATAAAATAAAGTTTTAAGTTTTTAATTATTTAATATTATAAGTATTTCTATATATAATTAAGTATTTACTACTAGGTATTATTTACTAATTAAATAATTAATATCTAGTAGTGAGTGTAGCTCGCCGCTTGAACTTTCTTGTCTTGAGTACATCAAAAAATTATATCGGAGGATTTACTTAACTCTGACTCAAGTAAACACAAACTCACGAGCAACTACACTGACCAACCGCCCTATTTAATGCGCATCCTGGGCTCCTGCAGGTCTCTATGGCAAAGGAAGACTAGCTACAGAGCTTTTATCCTGCCCACTGCCTTTCCGCCTGCTCTTCGTCGTCCGTTTTCCGGCGTGCCACTCCCTCCGCCCGCTGCCATGGCGCATCAAGACGCCCACGAAGTCCTCCAGCTCGTGCAGAGACTCGAGGCAGCGCAGAAGAAACAAGTCAAGCGCGCGTTCACCTGCAAGAAGTCGACCTTTGAAGTCGCGGGTTCAGACATCACCGTGGATTCGTGGCGGTTCCAGGACTGGGACTACAAGGACCGCGGCCTGCCTACCTATGCGCGAGGCCTCTTCACCACCACCAACCGGGCGGGAAAGCCAGAGATCGCAGTCAGGGGCTACGACAAGTTCTTTAACATCGAGGAAGTCAACCTGACGCGGTGGAGGAATATCGAGGTTAATACCCGCGGACCCTACGAGCTGAGCGTCAAGGAGAATGGCTGCATTATCTTCATATCCGGCCTGGAGGACGGCACCCTGCTGGTCTGCAGCAAGCATTCGACCGGCTCGCGGCAGGATATGGAGATGAGCCATGCCGAAGTCGGCCGGGCCTGGGTCAGGAAGCATGTCGAGTCCGTGGGCAAGACGGAGCGGGACCTCGCGAGGGAACTACGCAGCATGAATGCCACTGCTGTAGGAGAGCTGTGTGACGACAGCTTCGAAGAGCATGTCCTGGCCTACTCGGAGGAAGAATCGGGTATCTACCTGCACGGCATCAACTATAACCTGCCTGAATTTGCTACCGTCCGGAGCCCAGACGTGCACCGCTTTGCAGACGCTTGGGGGTTCAAAAAGGCCCAGTTCCTCGTCAAAGACGACATTGAATCTGTCCGGACATTCCTGGAGGGATGTGCGGAGACCGGCTCCTGGGACGGTAGAGACACGGAGGGCTTCGTGATCCGCTGCCAGATGCGCGAGTCCAGCTCCCTGCCGTACCATGACTGGTTCTTCAAATACAAGTTTGAAGAACCCTACCTGATGTACCGTCAATGGCGAGAGGCTACCAAGAAGCTGATCTCAGGCAAACTGCCTACTTTCAAGAAACACGTCAAGATCACAGAGGAGTATCTAAAGTATGCTAGAAAGCAGCTTGCAAAGGACCCAAAGCTAGCTAAGCTATACAACCAGAACCACGGCATCATCGCCATGCGGGATGGCTTCCTCAAGGAGCGAGGCCTCAAGGGCTCGGAGATCATCGCCATGGAGGCAGCTGAGGGTGGCGAGCTCGAGGCTGCCCAGGACAACAAAGACTTTGTGCTTGTCCCCGTTGCCTCCATCGGCTGCGGCAAGACCACCTTGGCCGTTGCTCTCGTCAAGCTCTTTGGCTGGGGCCATTTCCAAAACGACAATGTCGAAGGCAAAGGGAACAGACCGAAACGGTTCGTTCAAGGGTTGGTCAACGAGCTGATGAACCACAGCTGCGTGATAGCGGACCGGAACAACCACCAGAGGCGTGAGAGGGAGCAGATCTTCACGGACATGCAGACTCTCGTGCCCAACGCCCACTTCATTGCTCTTCACTGGGTGCATGAGCCCAAGGGTGCATTGCTAGATGATATCCGACGGGTCACGCAGCAGCGAGTCCTCGACCGTGGAGATAACCACCAGACCATCCGCGCCGGAAGCAAGAGTGAAAGCGAGATATTGCAGATCATGGAAGGCTTTCTGCGTCGATTCGAAGGTGTTGATACTTTCCGCCAGCCAGACAGACATTTCGAGGGAGTCATTGATCTAGACGTTGCCGCTTCCTCGAGGGAGAATCTAGAGACTATTGTAGACTACTTTTACGCCAATTATCCCAAGCTCATGAAACGGGATAAACCAGACGCCGCGGAGCTTGATGCAGCCATAAAAGAGGCCATGGAGGGATACACAGTTGATATCAAACATGATCTCAACTTCAAGTCCAAAAACCAGCCTCAGAAGCAACAACATCAACAACAACAACAGCAAAATCAGAAAAATCAAAAACCCCAAACACTCGACCAGCTGGTCAAGAAAATCGAATACTTCAACATTTCCGTCCCCTCTGCCCCCATCCACTCAATCCTCTCCTCCGTCTTCGACGCATCCTCATCACCAGACTACGCACATCTATACCGTCTCCTCACCAACTCCCGACGCATCCAGCCCTCATTCCACGTAACACTCATCCACCGTGCTTCCAGCTCCGACCACCCCCAGATATGGCACACCTACACAGACCTGTACAAGGCAGCAGTCGTCCAAGAACAACAGCAGCAGCAGCAGACCTCGTCGTCATCCGCTGCCTCGTTTCCAGGCTCAGCCACCGTTACAGGAACACCCACGCCAAGCCTAGGAACGGCTTCCGTCCGCCTCGAAACTCTCGTCTGGGATAAGCGTATCATGGCTATTGTTGCACGTATCTTGTCTGGCCCACCGTCCTTGGACACAACCACGGGGGTGGCGGCGGCGGCCTTGCCAATCTCAGGGGAGGCGTACGGAGATAGGCGAGAGGAAGAAGAAAGGCAAGGGGAAAGAGAGTTACCACCAACGTGGCCTTGTGCGAACGAGATTGCCCACGTTACGATCGGGACGGCAAATGCGAGCGTCAAGCCGAAGGAGAGTAACGATTTGTTGAAGCGATGGCTTACGATGGGCGCGGGAGAAGAGAGTGGGATCTGGGAGGCGAAGATTCCTTCTGTTAAGGTTGTGGAGGGCCTCGTGGGGGTTGTGATGCGTAGGTAGATTGATGTATCTGTTTTGAATACTCGGGAGTATAACTATGTTGATGTTGTACTTGTACAGACGACAGAGTATGTTGAACTCGGCTACTGGGCGCACGCGAGAGAAAAAGGGGGGGGAAAAGGGGGGCATAAGTAAGGTACATGAAAGCTTGAGATAAAAACGGTAAATGAAATGAAGATACACGCTTGAGTGACCAGCACGCTTACATTAATCACTACACAAGAGCATAACATAACGTACATAGCTATTATCAGAAGTTGGCTTAAAAGAGCAAGGGGGTATATATAAAAATGACGTACGTAAAGTAAAGCAAATAAAGGAAGCAAAGGGGGAAAAGCATATTAATCGCTCATCCAGGCTGCAACTCTGCCTGTGCCGACACGAGCAACCATTCGCAATCCAGTATTGCCCATGGGGAAATAGCTTACGAGGTACCAGATGAGGGCCACGAGTTGGCAAACGGATGATATGAGCGTTAGAATAGTTGAGTGCAGCTATAGACGAGGACCCAGTTAGTGACGTTATCCGTTATACCTTGTTGCCGGGCGGAAAGATTATGTGGAACAAAAGTCGGATGTAGTGGACTGCGGAATAAGGGGAGAGGGTGTGCAAAGAGTAAACACAGATCTGAAGAGTGATGTCACCTTGTCTTCAAGCGCAGGACAGGGTAGCTCGAAGAGGGTGATGGTATAGCTCAGGGGAGGCACGGCTTAGCAAGGGCATCCGACGGGATGAAGAAAATGTGATATAGGGGGGGTGTGCGTGCGTGGGTGCGTTCAAGGCTGCGGAAAGGCGGATGAAGTTGCAAGAGGCACAAGGAGAGCAAGGAGCAGGGAACAGGGAACAGGGATGTTTCTGTATCTTGGTTCTTTTTTGTTTGGTACTTACACCGACGGCAAAATAGAGAGTCAGGGCGATGGAGGTAAAGTATGCAGCGGTGAATGGGAGCCGGGGACCTGATGTTAGATGTCTGGCGTATGGTACTGGGCCCATGAGAACAGCCCAGGAGGCGAGGAAGAGAGCAGAGCCAGACGACCATCTAGTAGATGCACGCGCGCGCACACGGACGAATATTAGTGATGTCCGTGACATGGAGTTGAAGATGGAAATAGCAACATCAGAGTGAGGTAAGGTACTAGCGTTGCAACAGTATTGGGTAGCAGAGGGTATCTCGAGATGCAAAAGAAAATACAAGGCAAGGGAGGGTGGGCGTGGCTTTGGATAGCAGTTAAGTTGAGAATAAAGGGTCATGCAGAGCTCCCGTCCGCTGCCTGCGAGCCTTGCCTTGTGATCTTCACAGGCAGAGAACAAGAAGGAGCAAAGTTGACCAACAATGGAGTCTATGCAAAGAGGGCTGGCAGAAGAAGTAAAAATGAAAAAAAAGGTAGAAGGTAAAAAAAGGCAGAAGCGTAAGCCAGAAGTGAAAAAAAAATGCAGAGCAAAAGCTTACAGGATAGCAAACTTGCGCGGCTTCAGCATCAGCGGCATGATGAGGATGAAGCATATGGCAAAGCATACGAGAGCTCCGACGTTACAAGCCGCGAAGATCAGCATTCGGTCCCAGCGGGATACTAGAAGATAGGATCCATGGTTAGTGCCTGTCTCTTAGGGTACCAGAGGTGCGGTGCGGTGCGGTTCGAGGGCGGACATGATAGCTTTTGGCTGAATGAACGAAGGAATAGCGTTAAGGGTAGAGCGAACGAGCGAGATGGACCAAGCACAGCCCGACGTTCAAGCGAGGATGGAAATAAAAAGCAAAGACGAGAAAGCAAAGATGGAAAGGAAAAAAAAGAAAAGAAGAAAAGGGTGGAGAGAGAGAACGGCATGTGAAAGGGTAAAATAGCAGGCCAGGATATCACAAGACGGGTTTTCTCGTTTTGGGGAAGTAAGTATAAACAAGATGTAGAAATGGTGTGGGTGAGTGCGAGTATGAATGCGAATGCGATAGGAACAGATGAGAGAGATGAGAAAGGGAGAGATGGGCAGTGTGTGAGTGAGCGGTCGGCACTCACGAGCAAACCAGGCTTCCTCCTCCTCCCTCCTGGACGGCGCAGGTAAAGGCGCCGACGAGGCAGCGTTATCCGGTGAGAGCTGAACGTATCCACCGCGCCCACTGCCGAGCGGGTTCCATGACTGTATCTTGGAGAAGAAGGGGGTGCTGGTGTTTGACTGCGCCGGTGCAGAGGTCTCACCACGCCTCGACCAGCCAAGCGAGTTTAACGAGTCGTGAAAGGAGGCTGAAGCCATGAGTGGTAGGAGAATATATTATATTTAGAGATAAACCCCCGTATCCGCGGCGAATATGGCTATTTGTTGTCTCTTTCGTCGAATAGCGTGGGGCAAGGTGAATTATGTTGTTCTTTATTCTAGAAGCCCGACAGTTCCAGCGAAGACAGGCAGCCGTATAACAGAAAGGTGAAAGGATAAACCGGATCCGGACGGGGACTAATCGAAGCGGTGCAACGCGGATCGCTGCAGCGGGAGTGAAAAGCAAGAATGCAGTAGTTCCCTTGCTGCACGGGTATGCAGTATGGATGCAGTGCTGCAGTCCTTGCAGTTCTTTTCCCCAGACTTGTCCGTCTTGTTTCGTCCTGTTCGTCCTGTTTTTGGCTCCTCTATTCCCTGTATTTTTTTCTTTTTTGCTTGACTCTTTCTGCCCGGATGCGTATGGATATCGAATCAGATGACGTGTGGCACAAGCAGCGATCTGCCAAAATCCCAGGGAGAAGCAAAGAGGGTGGGAAGGGCCCGATAGGTTTAAGCTGGATGCTGGCAGGAGAGGCCTTCTGTTGGCTGTAACTGGTGGTAGTTTGTTTTTGAGAGATCGGGTCTCGAGATGCGAGCAGGCTCTGGGAGTAGACTGAAGCTGGCCGTGAAGGTTAGTTTTAGCGCGAGTCATGGAGCAGATACAAGCAGCAGAGGATGAACAGGCAGACGGAGCGAGGGTGAGACGGTGGATGATGAGAGGTCAGATGACGGGGCCGAACCTAGTAGATGGAGCAGGGTGAGTCGAGCAGTCGTCGACGGCCGATTAGACAGGCAGTCAGAATGCAGAATATGGCGCAGACGGTCGGTAGGCAGCAGGAATCGCCGGATATCAGCGTGGACGCGAAAGACGAAGCTGACGATGAAGCTGAAGCCGCGCAAAACGATCGAAAAGCAGGAGGTGAGGTTGGTGCTGAGTCAGCATGATGATTAGATAAGGCGGTAAAAAGATAAGATGGATTGGAGGAATAACACCAGCAACTAGCAGGCGGGCGGGCGGGCGTATCAAGGCGCAGACAAAGGGGAGATACAAGCGAGTACAACAGCAGGAGAAAAGCAAAGGGGAAAATACGTCTAGCGACAGCAGGATACGCGGTACAGACAAACCAGAGGCAAAGCGAGATTTAGATAGACAGCTAGGGTTCGGCTTACCCGACGCCCGCGTGGGAACCATGGCTCGAAAGCTTCACCACCACTGTCGAGTAATCAGCAGCCGGGCGCCGCCTTTCAATAGTCAGATCAACTGTGGTAACTCTCAAATAGCTAACTAGCTGCTGGTCTGTCTATCGGCAAACGATGATAGACACCAGCATCAGCATCGAGAGAACCTTCACGGAAGCGGATCCGATATTCCTCGATCTTGCAGCCCTTCTCTCGGAATCCAGCCGACCAGCAGCCGCCCTCACAGCGAGCCTGTGGCTGATCCCATGCGACTGGCACGCTGAACACTCCCACCCATCTTCAACTCTCGCTCCAAGTGGCAAGGGTAACTTGGTTACTCTTGTCTCAACCTTATCCCGTCCCTTATGTACTTCTCTGTATACCTCGTAGGTTAGCATACTTAAGACCCTCGAACCTATCCGCAGCAGCAGAGGCAGCAGAAAGAAGAAGACCGATCGACTGGCTGCATGACCTCGTCCATCCCACCCCCTTCGTAGTGGTCCCTCCCTAACCCTCCACCCCCCCCATATCTGCATCACCAACCATCACGAATGAGAGCTGCAGCTGGCCGTCCATAAAGCCAGCCGTCCGGCCTCTCTCTCCTTCTGCATGTTTTCAACTGCCTGACTGCTTGACCCTGACTGCTTCGAACTTGTATATTCCTTTTGTGCCGGCAAAACCCAGGTAGCAGCGCAGCACTGGATTGCGATTGCGCCCTGGCCCTGATATCTGTTCTCGTTCTTCGCGAACCTGAACCCCGAACCCTCGAGGCTACCCGCGCCTACTCCGTTTCGCTAAGCAGGCCAATCCGCATATCGTCCTCCGCGGACTCGTCGTATCAACTTGCTGCTTTCTCGCCCTTCTGGCTGTCTGGCTGTCGGATCAAGGCTCTGCGCGCCGTCTGTGTGACACCAACCACCTGAGTCTGCCTGGAGAAATACCAGAATCGTCAACTCTCGACAATCAGGAAACAGACTCTTCGCCGCGCCTTCTTATAAACCCGCGAACTCTTTCGGCTGTCTGCCTGCATCAGCGTCCTTCGACTTTTTCTTTCTTTGACCGTCTTCAGCTTGTTCGACTTCGGCGACCTCGTCGACTTAGTTCTTTTTCTGCCGGCTTTAACCCTTTTCGGCTCCACCGCCTTCAGCGACCTTTTTCTCAACTTCGCAACTTTCGACGTCGCGATAGAAACGACACAGACAGACGAGACGGCGAGACGACATAGACTGCGACGCCGGGGATACAGGATACAGCGGCTACAAGGGAGGATACAGG